CACACACACACACACACACACACACACACACACACACGCGCCCCCTTCTCTTGAGGCAGCTCGGAACATTGAGAGCAGGCCACCGCTCCACTTCAGTGTCTTCAGGCCAGGAACAAGGGGCTTGGAAAGGCAGACCCAACCCAGGAGGAGAAGTAACTACATCAAGAACCTAACTATGTGTTGATGCTTTGCACCTGTTCCTTCTTTCAGTTCTCACAACTGCATGAGGTAGATGGCAGAATCCTCATGTTCCACCTGAGCAAATAAGGCTCAGAGAAGCTCAGTGACTGTCTAATGTCACAAGGCCTCTTTCCTCAGGACCTTCCTGCCCTGTGCTACAGAGCTGGAGCTTCCAGGAGCAGCTGGAGAAGGAACTAGGGAGCTTTTTCTCCATGTCACAGAGCAGGAAACTATGGCCTAGAGAAGAATTAGGGTGCTTGCTATTGACCTAGCTGATGTTAGCGAGACCCAGGCCTCAGCCTGTGTTGCCCACCCAGCACTGCAGCACCTTGCTCCTCTAAGATTTCAGTCTGCACCCCGAGCTGCCAGAGTTCTGTCTTCTTGCCACAGATGTCCCTCAAGAGCTAGTCCATGATGGTGGCTGATGGGTCCTCTAACATAGGGCCTGGGCATGGCTCCCTATGGCCACCAGGGGGCAGCATTGCCAAACCTGTTGACTCAAAGGGTGGATGGGCTTTTCCCTTTGCTCAAATACTCAGGCCTGAGCTATTCCCAGGAGGACCAGCCAGGCCTCCACTTCAACCTCGTCTCTGAGAGCTGGTCCAGGTTTGTCCCCCTTCCAGCTTCCTGTAGGTCTGGAAACCTGGCCCTGCTTTTATAAGTTTCCCCCCATGAACCATCCTTCCTGAGCCCATCCAGCCTTTCTGAGCCCCACCAACCTTTAGTGAACCCACATTGGCTGGCATTCCCATACACCCCTCTGGGGCCCTGGAGTCCTCACTAGCTGGTCTACCCTTGGGTCCCAGCTGTCACCTTCCACCCCCACCCCATAGCCCACAGAACGTCTGCATACCTGTGGGCCAGATCTCCCCAGGCCTCACTGGTGTGGTCCTCCAGCGCTAGGTGTGCTCTGCTAACTGAATCGAGCCTTGATGGGCCAAGCTAGTAACTGTTTTCAATGATGGGGGGAAACCTGGGCCAGGCAGCCTTAGTGGCCCCCTGCACTAGGGGGAGCTCAGGAGCAGGTCTCTTGAGGGCAGGGCAGGGCAGGTCCAGTCTCCCTTCTGCAGCCTGGGGCCACTTGGTGGTCCTCCAGTCCTTGCCCCGCTTCTGCCAGCCAGATACTTACCACAGGGGTCCTGCTCTGTGTTCTTCTAGGCACCTTTCCTGGGACCAGTGCTGGGCTTTTCCCCGCAGCTTAAAAGGCTCATGCCCAAGGCTGTGCACCTGGCAGCGCCTCTTTTAGCCAAAAGCGTGGCCTTGGCAGCCAGTCTGTGCCCTGTAGCGGCAGCAGGAGCCTCACATTACAGCGGGCTAGCGCAGTCCGACCAGCAACAGGGGGACCGAGGGGGCTGGGAGGGGCTGAGGGCTGTGCCTCCGGCCCAGGGGAGGGAGAGAGAATGTGAGAAAGGAGTGGAGGGGAACCATCCTGCCCGCTCCCCCTAGCCCCAGGGCTGGGACAGGGGTGGGCCAACAGGTCAGCTTACCGAGGTGCAGGGTTCCGGGTCCGGGACGCAGTGAAGGCTGGGGCCTGAGGGACCTGCTGCTGGCCGAGCCCCTGAGCCGTGTCTGGGGGCCGGGCCCAACTCCATCCCTCAGAAGCCTCATGCCCGCCGCCATCCGGTGTCAAATTCCAGCCCCGGCGTCACCGGATCCTGGGGTGGGGCCCAGAGCGCCCCCGCCCAACTCCACCTTTCAGGGCTCACCTGGCCACTCCACCTGCTGGGATCGAGTCCCCCCGCCCCCCCTCTAGCTGCCCTAGGTCCCCAGAGCTTGGGGGGAGGAGACGCTGGGAGGGGACCCTGGGACTCAGAGCTAAGAACCCAGGCGGCGGAGAGGCGCGGGAACTGGGCATACAGAGTTTGTAGACACGCGAAGTAGGGAGTCGGGAGGCTGGGCTGAGGGCGGGGAGGGAGGGGACTGGCCGGTCCCTGCCTCAGCCGAGGGCCCTGCAGTCGGTGCGGTCTCTGGGGTCCCAGCTGGCCGGCCAGCAGTGGCTGCTCCTTGCTGTCTGGCCCACCGCTAACTTCTCCCAGCGGACCCATGGAACTCGTCATGTTGGTGAGGCGCTGCGCTGGGGCCCTGCCGCAGGGCCCCCACTGCCCGGGGCTTGGAGTGGAGACAGATCCGAGAACACCGCTGCTCACCCGGGGCGCCACAGGGGCAGTGCTGGTAGGCGCGGGTGCCCGTGCTGGAGAAGGGAGGGTCACAGAGGAGAAACATGCGCGGAGGCTTTGAGGTAGCAGCTGGAGGGTAGTATTTCAGGTGCCTAATTACGGCAATTTGGCAGGTGGGGTGGAGGTTGAGTGAGTAACATGGATAGAGGTAAGGAAAGGCCAGATCCTGTGTGTCATACTAGAGTCTGGCCTTTATCCGGGTGGCACTGGGGACCACTGAAGGGTTTCAGGCAGGAGAATGGTGTGACCAGACAAGCATTTCAGAGTGGCCACAGTAGGGTGGATGGTCTGGGGATGTGTGAGGAGGCTGCTGGGGAGAGAGGAGCCTGAGGCAGAGTGTGGGGCTAGCGGAGGGCTGCAAGCCTCTTTCGCGAGCACACCTTCTTGAAAACTCAATTGATCCCTGATTGGATGGGGTGAAGAGGTAGGACAAAGGTATGCCTTTGGCCTGGGTGATGAGGTGGAGGCGACGCAGGCTGGCAGCTGGGGCTTCCCGGAGGAGGGGCATGTGGAGGACAGGAGCTCACGAGTTCAGTGTCCGACATGTGGAGTTGGAAGGACCTGTGAATTACCCTAGCGGCGATGTTCAGGAAGTAGCTGAATCTGTAGCCTGCAGCAACGTGGAGAGAGCTGGGGCGGAGATGGCAATTTGGAAATTGTTGACCAACTGACAATTGGAAGCCATGGGTGGGGATGAAAGTGCTCAGGGGACGTGTGTGGACCAGCTGTACCTTGACTATGCATCAGAACCACCTGTGGACCTTTTAAAACCACCCACATCTGGGCTCCACCCCAGACCTGAATCAGAATCTTGGGGTGGGCATGTGCCGTTTTCCCAATCGGTGCAGGTTATTTTGGCATATGGCCGGGGCTGAGAACCACAGCTTTTGTGAGAGCAGTTTCTGTGCAGAAGCCAGACCACAGAAAACTGGTGGTGGCTGTCCGCAGGCTTGACAGGACCCTGGTAGGCCAGGGGCCACGCAGTGAGTAGATCCTCTCTTTGCTGTCTCTTGCAACCTGGAGCTTTATCAGCCGTGGCTGCCTCTTGTAGGCATGCAGCCTATGCCCTGTACAACTCCAGGGGGTGCCATTCCCGTAGAACATGATGTGCTTTGGAGTTGTGCCCAGTTGCCAGCAAAATCCCAAGGGAGTTCTGGGTGTGCCTCTCAGGGTCTTGCTTTCCCCTCAGCTGAGGAGGCTTCTGCCTGAGGACAAAGCACGGCAGTAAGGGGGCAGGCGGGAAGGTGGTGGTCCTTGGGATGGCAAGGACTCTTGGATTGGGATGGCAGGTGAGAGATGAGGGGGCCAGCCAGCCTGTCATAGTGGCAGCTCTGGCAGGAAGCTCACTCCATGGCTTCAGATGCAGGTGTATGTTTGTCCCATTCTCAGGCCTGCCTGGGGATGCTGGAAAGGGAGGGATCAGACTCTAGCGCTCTAAGGGGGTGGGGGTGGGGATAGCCTTTCTAATGTTCACCTGAGGGTGCCCAGAGGGGGCTGTGTCTTCCTGTTCTGTGTGGGGAGAGGGGACCCTTTGTGCTCTGGGTTGGGGTGGGACATACTCTCCCCAGGGCTCAGCCTGGGGTGCCAGGAGCAGGTAAGGTCTTTGAGCCTGTGTCAGAGGCTCAGTATAGATCTTTCCTGTACTTGTAGGAATCTCTGTCCCTGCTTGCAGAACTGGGGTTCTGGGGACTCAGAGGTGCTATCGTAAGGCTGTGGACTTCAGTGGCTCCTTTAGGAGGACTAGGGTAGACTCTGGGGCATGCCCTTATACCTTTGGTCTGCTTCTCTCAAAGCAAACAGGGTGTAGGACTTTGTAGGATGGGAAAGGCTTCAGGAGGCCCCTAGGTAGCTACCCGTGTCCAGCAGCTGACACGAGAAGGGAAAGAGACCCAGGAATCTGCGTGGGCTAGAGAGATGGCCCTTGAGTTTAACATAATTGCTGAGGCCCCAGGTTCCTGCCTCTTCCAGGAAAGTCAGAGAAAGCAAGAGGAGGCCAGATTCGGGGAAGAGCTTTATTGCTTCCAGGATGGCTGCCACAGCCTGGGTAAGGTCCTTGAGCCTCACTTCCCTCTGGTCCAAGCTAAAGGCAGAACCCAAGGACCTGACAGTCTCATTGCTGAAGTCCAGAACAGCTGCCAGGTTGGTCAGTCCAGGCTGGGGCGCTGTCCTATGGATCAGCTGCAGCTGGGGAGGGGGGGCGCTATTCCCATCAGGTTGGGCCAGGCCCCATCTCCCAGGCTCTGTAGTTCTTTCTGCTTAACCCAGGGGCTGTCTTGTTGGCTTAAATGATGGCTCCAGGGTTTCCCTGTGGGGTAGTTAGGGGCTGGTGAATGGGAATACCCCATCTTCTCCTCAAGAAAGGCCAAACCGTGTCATGAGCTGGAGAGGGCTGGCATGAGACCTTGCCCACCTCCCCTGTAGTCCCGAGCAGGGTCCAGGCTAGTCATGGCACCCCTACTCTACAGGGAGCCCACTGGTACCTAGACCCGATAGGCCCCCTAGTGGGCCTCTTTCTGTATGGCAAGTGGACCAAAGTTGACATCTCCAACCTTATTTAAAAATAAATTATCCCTACCCTCCCCCCAACCCCAATTCACAAAATGATAATACACCAAACACTGATTGGAGAAATGATTCCAGCAGCAGCCCTGCTGCCTGACGTCCACCTCCCGCATGCTGGGCCTGCTGGGCACGGCTGGTGGCCTCCTGGCCCTCTAGCTTCAAGGACCCAGGCTGAGAATGAGGCCAAGTGCTGGTCTCTGAGGCTGGCCTCTGGGCAGACACAGCTCTGGCTGCCCTGCCAAGGCCTCGCCACCCCTGGGGCCACTTGGCACTGTCCTTCTCGGGGTCTAAAGACTCCTGTGCCTTTCAGGCAGAGCCAGACCAAGGCCAATGAAGTGGGCAGGTGGTGGTGGCTGCTGCTTGCTCTTGGCGGTGCCAGGACCTCCGTGGCCATGTGCTGGGCCCGCCTCAGATGCCGCTGGTTAGGTCGGTGATGACACGTGCTTTCACCAGCTTCCGCAGAAACTCTTTCTCTCGCTGGATATTGTGCGTCCAGGACTGGAAGGAAAGACATGGAGATGTGATGAGTTGAGCTCAGTGCCCTCTTCTGACCGCCACCCTCCCATGCTCCAGAAGGGCCACGGTTCATCCTCCCTCCTTCCCCACACTGGGAGAACTATGCCTCTTCTCCTCTTCCAAGTCTTAGATGTAGCCCTTCCAACCTTGTTCCCCACAGACTTCAGCACCTCCTTGTCTGACCGTATGTCCAGGGCACCTAGGTCCTATGCACCCTGAGGATAGGCAATGTGAGTCACTTAGGTCTGGCCCAGGCCTGGCGGGTGGGCCCTGCTGGAAAGAGAACCGCGTGGGGTGGCTTAGTCATCCTCTGGCCTGATGCAATCCAGTCTCCAGGCCTGGGGGCAGCTGATGAAATCCTGCCTCTCAGATCAGAGGAGTCAGGGGGCCCGAGACCAAGAGGCTCACCTTTCTGTTAATGTGGAAATTATAGGGAAGATGCTGCCTTCTGGGGCTTTCCTGGGGGAAGACTGCACCCAGGCTGAGGCTCTTTCCTGTCCCCAGTACTCCCACCAGGAGGCTCTGATGGCTAAGTCTCTGATGAAAAAGGGCTAACTGATTGACTCAGTGAGTGTGGACAGCCTCTTCACAGTTTGTACCCACCTGACTGCTCTGCTGGGTTGGTCAGCACCAAGCCTCACAGCGATGTTAACAAGCACGGTTTACTGGTGCTAAGGATGCAGGGCTCTGTCCTGTCCTTATTCTCATTCAGTCAACTTTGTACAACTGGCCAGATCCTTTTTTTTTTTTTT